GCCTGCCCAGCGCCTCTGTCGGCACAGCCCCTCACCGGGGCGCTTGGCCCCGGGCGCGAGGTGAACCTCCACTGTCGTCCTTCCCCCCGCAAATCCAGGGAGGGAAGGGGGGAAAAAAGGATCAGAGCATTTGCTCCGTGTTTCTTCCTCCAGCCCTGAGAGAAGAATTTTTGCCCCAAGTGATAGTTGCTTTTTTCCCGTGGAGGCTTCTCATTTTGAGGTCTCTTCAAAGAGAGCGCAGGCTAAATTACTTCATTCACGGGTAAGCGGTTTTCAGGCAGCACTACACGTTAGTAAAAATACTGCAGAGTCCAAATACAGACCCGAAGCCTGGGCCTCGATGCCCCGTCTCCCCCTAGCCCTTGCCCTGCCGCACGCGGACGCTGCAACGAGCAGCAGTAACGCCGGTTGTCGCCATCCACTGCAGACCTAAACGTAGGTGCCCAAAGGCAGGGCCTTAAGGCTGTGTGATGGGCTGCTGCCTTCAGACAGCCGGTCCCAAGCTCACCGGATCCCCTCGGAAAAGTTGTGGTGGCAGTTGGCACCTCGCTCAGCAGCTGTGTCCCAGGCGTGTGCGAGCTGCAGCCCCCCCCTTTCCTGCTCAATGCCGGGAAGCTACTTTGGAGCAGCAGCTGTCACTTCTTGTGTCCTGTTGGGCTTCCAGCATGGGGGTCCCTGACTTGGCTGAAGGCTCTGGATGCTCAAGTGCTAGAATCACTCATTAATGGTCCAGATGATGGCATTAATACAAACCTCTTGACAGTGAAAGCAAACCCGGTTTGACGCTCCCTGCCCAGGACAAGTTTGCAGTGGGACAGAAATTCTTTTATTTCTAACACGCATCCAACAGTGCACTCACCCCCCCCCCCCCCACTCAAACAAGACAATACCAACGGAGTGCCCACCTTGTAGCAAATGCTTTGCTGCAGCTTCAAAGTTTGGCTTTGGCAGATGGATTATAAGCCTTGCCAGGCATGATCACACTCTTTGCATGCTACCAGTGCACCAGCTGGATACTTCTAGAGAGGAGCACAAGCTGCGGAGCTTGCTTCAGGCCTTAAAATGTTACTGGGTTTGAGATCTGAGTTTTGGCTCGTTACAGAGAGAAGGCTGTTGACAATGATTTGACATTGTGGGTCCAGTTCCAAATTTTCTTGGAGTTCATGGTCTGGCTTTTATTGGGATCCTACTTGGATTATTTTACTGATGATTAATACTCTCCCTTTTCTTAGAATAACCAGATAGAAGAAATCTTTCCAGAGGAGCTTGCTCGTCTTCACAGACTAGAAACTCTCAATCTGCAAAACAACAGGCTTACTTCAAAAGGTAAGCTGGAAAAGTCATGAGCGTGCAGAGCCATTGCCTCAGCACCATTCCCTGCAGCAACACCATCTTATGCAGTAAGCCAAGTGTCAGCTGCTAAAGAAAGCTGTGAAGAGTAGTGGGTTGACCTGACTGCAGCAGTTGGCTATAAGCATCACTCCTTTGGCCGTTATACAGATCATGGAGGCACTTTATCATCTGAAACGTAATACTCAGTGTATAAGAATGCAGCTTTACTGAACCAGTGGAGGAGACCTGGCAGCAGCACTGTGTACTGTGGCGTGAGAGCTTCACATCCAGGAAACTCCCTCCAGTCCCTGAGGCACATCAGTGCAATGCACTTGGGAACCAGAAATGATTTCCTTCTGACTGACCTTATTTCTTAATCCATTTGGTTTGTTCAGTCCAGTCTATTGGTTTGTTCAGTTTAATCCAGTTCAGTACTTGTTGAATTTACTCTAAATCCAAATAATCTATTATTACAAATAAGGCAACTTCTGCCCTTTTCTAAAACTGTTTTGATTTCTGTTGGCAGGTTTTGCTAAGTCATATGCCTAAGAGAGGAACTTGACAACTAATTAGTAAGGAAAGCAGAAGAAAAAGAGGAATTAAACAGCCAGAGAGCAGGAGATGCAATATAAAATATGTAATTGCAGTTAATTTGTGTGTTATCCAGATGCTCTGAATGCTCTTGCTATCCTTATATCAATGACAGAGAAAGCCTTTATTGAGAATGTGGGCACGTTGTGTGTAGGACACAACACATATGTATCACTCATACTTAGCACAAAGAAAACTGAGCTTAATAGATTCAGCCCTGACCTTGTTTCCTTTTGGACTTAGTGATGATTGTTTTACAACCTTCAGTGCAGCCCTGAGTTTCAAATATACTGTGACTTGGGATGTAGTTTCATTGTTGAGTTAAGATAGTCTAAGTGCCAGGTGAAAATGTCATTTGTATCCTTTTCCTTGGGCCAGCAATAGTACTTGTTTGATTAGCTGTACGTGGAGCGATTCAGCTGAAAACTAATACTTACCAGGGGAGGGTTAGCTCTGAGCTGGTTACTGCATGGCCATACTGACTGGGAGGGAACAGGACAAGGGAGGGGTCAGGACGTGCAGCTACTGGCGGGAGTAGGGCAGAGTTGTCCCTTTGGCAGCATCATGGTCACAGATCAAATTGAGCTGATCATTAAACAGCGACCAAGATTATGTCCTGCCAAGAAAAATTATCTGCAGATTCAGGAGAAAATAATCAAAGAAACTTCTCAGATAGCGTGGTTGCTGTGAGCACTGATAATTAGCCCCACAGCAAGTCTGCATGGCTCTGTACCTGACCCTTGTCACAAGCCTTGTTTGCTTAGAATTTTTAATGGTCTTCCGTAGCTCTTTAATCGTCTATCTGTGTTAGTAAAAAAAAAAAACAAAACAAAAACAAAAACCACCCTAAACAGCCAGCCAGAGTCAAGTTGTTTTAGTGCCACTGGAAAATATTTAAATCTTACATTAAAAATATTATCTGAGAAATAAAACTACCCCGTGATATTCTCACTCAGACAGGCAGTGCTAGTGTCACTGATTAGAATTATTCTTGTTTTTTAAGGGCTGCCAGAAGAAGCGTTTGAACATCTGGAGAACCTGAATTACCTGTACCTGGCAAACAATAAGGTAAGAGGCTCACAAGGCTTTCAGAGTTCTTTTCTGATTGGATTCTGAAACTTAAACAAGAGGATCTTGAATTCTTTAAAACTGTGTATCCTACATAAGTAACATTGTGCCAAAGTCTAATGAAGGTTCATTTAAGGTCAATACAATCAGTTAGTATGCTGAAAAATTAGGGAGTGTTCTTTTCATGGATGTGGTATTTTAGGAGTTCAAAGGTGTTTTAAGAGCTCATTGCCAGGTGAGGAGGAGGTAGGAACAGCTAAATCAAAATGGAGATCTGTTTTGCATGCTGGCAAAACATGCCAGTATGTTTTTAACACTTCTGTCTTTGCGCAACTGATGAAAACTTTCCTACATGTGAGTAGGGAGCTGCAGAGAGCCCCTGCATTCATAAATTACCACAGCTTTGGATCAGCTGCACGCAGAGTTGACAGCTGCCTGTATGCAAATAAGCTGTGGGTAATGGTGTGCCGTGGTGCATATCTCATCTGATGAGTCTGTGTTGAGAAATCTGTGAACAAACACATCCTAATATCTGTGCTTGAGCCATTGAGAACTGCAAAACGTCATCCGCGCTTCCCCGGCTCCTGTTCTCATTAGGTATGTTGGATGGATACCCGCACAAAGTGAAACTGAGCAGGTAGTAAACTTATTCTTTTAGCTGGAGTGATAAGAGCTGTTTCTTAAATGTAGAACATCCCAGGTGCTTTCCTATTAATGACCCAGGTCGGATGTCCTGACAGAAGCACAGCTTTTCTGCCTAGACTGGGGAAGGAAATATCTTCTCACATGTCCTTGCACCTGGGTGGTTCCCATTGGCATTCATTTTTCCCAGTGATTCCCCACAAATTTTTGCTACAGAAGGAACTGTCATGCCACAGCAAAACAGAAGTTAAAATGTCAGGCAGAGCTTCTTTTTATACAGAAACCCTGCATCTCTTTGTCTCTCCCTCTCCCTCTCTCTGTATATATATATATATATTTGCATGTCTGTCTATATATGCTATTATCCTATTAAAATCTGTTGCCCTTTGACGTTTCATTTACACACATGCGGCCACGTTCAGGTTTCAGTCAGGCCAAGACATATCCAGAATCTCTCTATGGATTTCCATATGGAGTGATTGAGAATAGAACCCATTCCTCAGTACAGTAACATTGTGTTCTTTTCTCTCTTTCAAGCACCATTTCCATATAACAGTCTTGGCAGTTAAGAACTCCATAAAACAGAACAAGCCAGACTGTGACTAATATTCCAGAACTTTACACTCCAGTTTTCCCTGTGTGACAAAACAAAATGTTTGGTTTTTCTGGCTTTACTTAGAGAGAATAAGATCCCAAATGAAAATGCAAGCATCAGCAAGTGTCAGAACTAGTTATAGTGAGGAGTTATGGACCCACAAAAATAACACGTTTCTTCATAAATAAGAAGCCAGGACAAACCAGATTGGCTTCAAACTGCATCCACTCTGAAGTGGGAAACACTGCCGATCAAGTAATTGGTGTCTGGAGGAGGGCAGGGATTTGCTGGTAGTTTGCTCTTTGTTTTATGGATCATTTGATGCTGCTTTATCCTCAGTTGTGATCCCATCACATGCAGCTAAACTGTCTTTCATTAAACTAGCATAGTTGGTTAGAAAACAGAAGATATCATAACAAACTAAAAACCTGCTGTACTGCATGAGTAGCAACCGTTTTATGCAAGTAACTGATACTCTAGTTTCCTTTTTAACTTCTCAAAGCACTCTCTTAATATGCATCAGTCACACATTGTGCAGTATCTACAGGAAGCCTTGTTAATAACAAAAATCTCTCCTGCCAAGCTGTAGAGCAGATCTGGGCTGTCATTATTTACAATAAGCTGATGATCTTGGTGATGGAAGGGTCTACGTTTCCAAGGATTCCCATAGTAATATAGGTTTCAGTGGATCCAGTACTTCTGTTTATGCCAAAGGCTGTGATAAACAAGAAAACAAATAAATTCTGTAGAATCCTTGTAAGTTCATTGCTTAATTTATTCATTAACAATGGAGAAACAATTTCTGCTGTACGAAGAAAAGGAGGATCCAGCAATAAGGCTACAAGGAAATTGTAGCTGAAGAGAAGCAGATTGCTGTTTATTAGGCAGTATACTAGAGGAAGCTTCTCATTCAGCTTTTATTTTTGCTCACAACTGCAACAATCTAGCATTAATTCTGCAAGCAGTCAACCAGTGGTGATCAGTTGTTCAGTATCATGGAGACTACCTCAAAGTAGTGTATTCATCATCCTCTCCGTCCTTTATGTGCTGCAGGAAAGGCAGCAAGACATTTGTTAACTTCAGTACTGTTTGTAGGAACAAATGCAACAAAGTCACATGTGCTGTTAGATAAATCAGACTCCTGCATTAGGTCTATATTCCAGGTGTGTTCCAGATGTTCCCGTTTAGAAAAAGCCGTATCTAAATCTCTCGTGTCGGAGAGAAAAAGGACAGAGAAAGAAGGTTCCTTCAGCTAACCCACTTCCATTTCTAGGAAGCAGGACCTCCGTTCAGAATTGCCCTGTTTTTTTTTGAAATTTTTTTTGACAGACTTCTTAAGGTGGACAAAATTGAACTTAACAAAGAATAGATAAATTTCTCCACAGCCTTTGGGAGCCATCATGTTTTTCTAGTGCCAGTTCATGCCAAAGAGGCAGAAGAGTGAGGGAAAGGTAGATCACCTAAAGTTAGGCATGTTTCTGAACTGCTGGAACAAGCATATAAATCCTTATGTTTTTCAGCCACCTTCTTGAATGAATGCTGTTTTATATTCTTTAGTTATAAAAGCTCACAAATGAAAATCCTGACATTGAGACTAGTTTAACTGATGGATTGATTCTGTCTTTCTACCTTCCTTGTGCTATGGAACAATCTGAGAAAGGAATATCAGATTGAAAGTCCTGAAATCTTCCTCGTACAGCAACACACAAGTCCCCAGAAGTTGAAGCAAGCAATTATACAACTATCAGTCTTATGACTAAGTGCTGAAATGCCAAAGCAAAGTCCTGAGCAACTGAAAACTCTTCCTGGCCGAAATTTCTCTCTCTCTTGGCTTTCTTGTGGCTCAGGTCTCTCACATTTCACATATCTGAGCCATGCCCTTTGATTTCTGTAAAAGCTATGACTCAATAGACCGCGTATTCCAGGAGAAAAGCTTTAATGTGCCACTGTGTATGAAAGTGATTAACTCTGTCCTGTGTCTGATTTCTCAGTATTATGTCATGGCAGAGGCTATTTCTTCCTGAGGTGTTGTCAGAAGTTTGTAGTCAGAGATAAGTACCTTTATCCACTTCCATGAGATCATATATCTCAGGTCAGGACGTGAGAGAATACCAGTTAAGCCAATGGCAGATCTGTGGCAACTATGGTAATATGTAGAATGCCTCTAATTTTCACTGCTTACATAATATCTGGAAATACTAGTATCAGTGACTGATTTGTGGGAAAGATCTTTTTGTTTGTATTTGTGCCTGTTAAACATTTCAAACAGCTTGAAGCTGGAGGTTTTGGCATAGGTGAGAATGAAAAATAATGAATAATGTATTTTCAACTTTAAAAAAAAAAATAGAACTGTATTACAAATCCAGGAAGTTACATATTGAGGGATACAGTACATCAATGCACACTTGACAAACTAGCAGAAAGAAATCTAGGCATCCTTTAGGTAAATATGTAGTTTAAGGCTTGGGTTAGGGAGCTCTCCAACAAAGTACCTATTCTCTCACATGTTATTCATCTTTTAAATATTTTTAGTTTTACACTATTTTTAGTAACCATTTGCTGTTTTGTTTTTATAACAATTTGAAAAATCATGTGGGTCTTGCTCTAAAGACCAAATCCTCTGAGGAGCTTTAGAGATTGAAGGAATTTCAAGCTAGAAGGCAGATCCCTTCCATAACCCAGAGTTCCAGTCCTGATCTCGGAGCTTCAGATGACAAAGAATTCAGTATCTCCCTAGAAGAGTGTACATAAAATATTATAGCGATGGTCTCGCTAATACTGTAGTTAACACCTATAACCATGGTAATAGCAGCTGCCTATGGCAATTCAGTAGTCTTCCGCTTATGTGCGCAAGGACTGTGTTTACCACAGCATCATGTTAAGAATTTGTGTCCCAGTAGTTAATCTTGATGCATGAATCTTCTTCTGAGTTTATACTTTCCAGAAAACTGTCCTCCAGCCTGTAAGTGTGACCTATATTCCTGGTTTCTGGATAAATGACTTAGCTATTAGCTGGCACTCAGTGAACCTAGCTATTGTAGTATCTGGTTGCTCTGTAAAACTGAACTTTTTTAATCATTAGTTTTCATTCCACCAATTTTTATTCAGATGCAGACATTCCTCACATTATTTGTTCAAGATCTCTGATGAAAACAGCAATAGGCCAAGAATAAACAGCGTCAAACCCTATACCTCTTTTTGGCTAAAACGTTTTGGAGACGGGACCTTTCTGTCTTTCATTTCTGATACATCACTCGTTTTAATAAACAAAAAGTATCACTGCACAATAGGTATTTGCTTTTATGTCCCATTTGATATTCCATAATTTGGCTCAAAAACATTGGCTCTTTGGGAACCTCGATCCTCTGTTGAAGAGATCATTATAAATGCGGGCAATATTGTAACAAACATACAAAGTGACGCCTCCCCTCGCAACCAACATACTTTCATATGAGACTAAATAATAGCCAGTGTGAGGTGGGTCAGATTTTTTGGCATAGTAGTTTGAGGAATTAGCAAATACATTGCTTGTTATTGTTCCTCTCTGAATAACAATCTCTTGATTTCTTCCACCAAAAAGACTCTTCCAGTAAAAACAAACATCCAGATATTTTGGAGCAAAAGTCTAGCTCCTTCCTGGAGAGATTAGTGAGTGAGGACCATTTGTTTTTGTTCATACAATCTGCATTCTTTTTCATTTACTGTTGCCTGTTGAGAGGAAATAGATTTGCAAGTGTTTTGTTGCTGGCCTAATACTTGGTTAAAACATTTGTTGCATTTAATTGGAATTCCCCCATGTATTTGTTTTTCAGCTTACAGTGGCTCCGAGATTCCTACCACACACCTTGATCAGTGCAGATTTTGCAGCCAATTATCTCACTAAGATATACGGGCTCACATTTGGACAGAAACCAAACTTGAGGTAAGGGATTGGGAAGTGAAATGAGAACAGTGTTCTGCCACTGCTTAGAGGCAGTTGGTGAGTGATAAGAAACTATCTGGATAAACCATCTGAGGGGCTACTGACAGTTTTTGGAAAGAAGCTGACTATTTCTTAATCTCAGCATGACATACCAAATCAGCTCTCAGAAGGACACGTTCCAAGGGCTTTTACTAGCTGCCAGACACTTTTACATAGATAAAAACTAAATTTGTCTCCATTTTATTTGTATATCAGTTACGAGTTGCAAAGAACAGCTTTGATATCTCAAAATGGTTATTAACTGTTTAGAAATGCCCAATTTTGTTATAGTCTGTTCATTAAAAAAGTTAGAATCAAATTGAGAGTACAGGACCCAATACAGCTGCGTATTACTCAACGATATTGAAGTCAGGCATAGATACCTCCTTTTGCATGTGCGTCATCCTCTCAGAACTGGTTTCAAAGACCTCTCTGCTGGTTTTAAGTTCTGATTTTTCTCAGATGGATCCAGTGCAGCTATGGCCCACCTCAAAGTCAGCTGCGCGCAGGCACACCTCCTGTGAGATATGACCTTTTCCAAAGACGCATATGGGCACTATAGCTAACTGAGCTTTTCATTCACTATCTGAATCCCGCAAAGACATCTCAAACCGTTGGGAGCAATTTACCCTTCCATGTTTGGAAGCACTTAACAATAGCTGGCCTAGTTGAACTCTTAGAGCCCGGTCATGTGATGAACTGAGGAACTCCCAGTTCCCATTGAATTAGTTGAGAGTTGAGGCTGTTCTGTGCTTATTGGGCCTTTAGTTTCGAAGGCTCTTGATGACTGAAAAGGCTGAGTCAATCACTTATTTCTGGCAATATCTCATTATGACACAGGCTAGATTTATGCATGTATTCTTCCTTAACTGGAGTTACAGAAGCTGTTGCCTTCCAATTTTACATTACAATTTCGGAAGGGATTTTCTCAAGCTCTCCTATAGCAACATTCATTTTATTCAGAACAGTAACTCGCTGATTTCTGAGACTGCTCATATAAAATCCTAACTCAGTTGTTTCAGTTGGGTTATTTACCCTCAGCAGAGTTCATGGTCTCAGACTGATTAGCTGGAAAGTGAGATTTTCAGAAAAGTAAATATTTGTGATTTAAAAGTACAGCTGACCATGAAGAGTGAATAATGTCTTCATTACCTCCTGGAGCGTGTGATCACACTATTGTTTCCAAACTGAGCCTTTCCTTCCTTCCTTCCAAAACCCTGTTGCCAAGTATTCTCTGCAGCTGGCAGATAATCCAAGAGCAAATTAAAAAAGCACCCTTTGACACTATGCTCTTTTGTAAAGTTAACCTGTCCCCAGAATTTTAGTTGCCTGCCGCATCCTGGGGTACACACAGGAAATGAAGGGGTAACAGAAGTCAGTAAAATCCTATAATTTCTTTTGTTAAGAAGACGACGAATTAATTTAGCTGTTAAACCAATGTAAAACAGGAAAAACTTCAGAGGTCAGCTGTCTTATACAGAATTAGAACTTGTGTAAGGGGGATGAAATCCAATTTTTAAAAATCTGATTGGAACAACTCTTCTGTGAATATCAAAGGTTAAAAATAAGAAAGGCAAAGGGAAAATAAGAGACCATCTTTCTCTAGAACCCAAACCTTCCAGAACTGTTAAGGATTGAGTAAACCTGCTCCGT